CAATGTTCCGGACCAATTCGAGCGATTTTGGTGACTTTCTTCGACCGGGAATCATCGAACTAACGGAATTGAATACCCTCTGGCCACGAATCACAGGAAAGGGCAACATCCCGTTTATTTTGATTAACGACGACTTTGAAGGAAATGTAGTTCAACGTGGATGGATCTATTCCTCTGGGAACCAATTTTGTAACCCGTGGTTTTTCGTGTTTCTCCAGACCCAGACACTCAGAGACGAGAGATGAAATTCCGTCATTCGTAGTACTGGGATGGAATGCAGATAAGTACCAGATCTTCATTCAAGTGAATGGTTTTGATGGAGTCGATTGGAGTTTTTTTTTTAGTTTTTTAGCTTTTTATATAGAAGAATACAAATATATATACGGAATCGAGTATGTGACAAATAATATACACAACTTAGAACACGTTTTCAACGATCTAGAAAGATTAGGATGCTTACAGATAACTTTTTCTTATCCGTTTGAAAATTGTCCTTATCAAATAAAAAATCAGGCAAGGAAATAATATTTTACAGCAAGTTGCTAACAGAATGTACAAACGAAACAATGCACCCATACAAAATAATGCATCAGGTAAAGTGTTTAATGCTGTGAAAATAACAAGGGGTAGAGTACAGTGTCAAATCAATGAACATTTTTTATTGAATGATGGTTTTCAAAACTCTTGGCTTCTCACTAAATAAAAATAAATTGCTCGAATAATTACTGCTAATTCTACCAGTAAAGGTTGCCCTACCATTCATGGCAGGCCAGTAAAATTTAATCAAAACTTGTTTGAGGTTCCAGTTTTTTCGTGTATAAGGATCTTCATGAATTGAAAGTATTTGAAGTAGATAACATATTCTATAAAGTATTGCTCTTTTCAAGAAATAAAAATAAATCATACAAGGAAACAATTCAATTGCATATTTGTTACTCTTCTCCCTACTTTTTTTTTCGTTGATTTGTTTTCCGTCGATCTTGTTTTCCGTGCTGAGCACCAATGCTACGGACGCCAGGGAGACAACTCCCACACCTAAACCCTACCTATCGACCCATCAATTCATGAACCGGGGACCAACGACTTTACTTCACTTCCGAAGGAAGGCGTGATCAGAGATGTTATGCTTTAGAACATCCCGGCGGCGCCGACTGGGATTGAACCCAGGCCTGCTGGAGTGAGAGGTAATAACGCTTACCACTACACCACTGGTGCCGCTACGTCTTTCTACTGTTTGTGTATTATTTCCTATTGTCACTTGAGTTCTCAAAATTTTCCACCACGAGTAACCACCATGACAGGCCTGCCCTGAACCATTCCAGAGGTGTTCGTCGCTCCTCCAGTGTCTGAGTTCCAGCCAGTTGATGGATGTCAGAATTAAGAGTCCACGGAGACTGTTCAGGATCATCCTAAGGCTAATTTCAGCCAAATGGTTTTCGTCTATTTTTGCTGACTCTGTGATTTCAAAATCCGCTTCCAAAAGCATTGCTCCAACCACAATTCACTTCGTCACAGCTTTTCAATCTAACTTACTCGCAAGTTCTAATTCCCTTTTGATGACATGCGAAACCGATCGTATCAAAACGTACCACTCTGTTATCTGTTTCCAACCGACTCCATCTATCCATCTTACCATCGAACACACAGACATCTTTGAAAGTTCAGATGAAACTTTAATTAAGTCCATGGATAATTCTCTTTCTTCGGCAGCAGTCGTCGTCGTCGACATCGGGCCCGCAAGAAGCACCAACTCTTGCGCAACTAGTGTGCTCCCGAGGGGGCGGAGATGCGGTGCGGTGCAGTAAACAAGAGTCCATGCCCGAATATTCCCTCTCACTGTACTCACCAAATCCAAACGCAAACGAAGGAGCAGATTGAAGTGGTTTCCTGTTTTGAGACTCACCGCTGGGCAACCCGCAGAAACCTCAGCCCATTAGTTTTTCATCAGCCCCGCATCTCCCACCCACCACTTCTAGCTAATATTTGCCACCCAGCTCGCCAGCTCAGCTCAACCAGCATTACGGAAGCAAAAGTCAAGAGCCGTACTGGCAGTGCAAAATGTTACCAATATTTGCAGAATTTATTCTGCTGCTCTCCGAGTCGGGTTTTGCTCCCGTTTACCATTTCCACCCAACAGTGTGACCTCTGATGTAGCTGGGTTTTGGACTAATAAAATTCCATTTATTTTAATGGTTGTGCAACCAGCCACTGGTGTTGCTCGCTGCTGTAACTCTTTTTCCGGTGTGGGTTTCTGCTCACTAGTGGGTGCAGCGATGCAGCCCCAACTAGCTGCACATTACACAACCTATCTGTTTTGTCCGCAGGGGAAGGAGCACGAAAGGAAAGCAGCGCCAAAGTGTAACTATTTTTCTATTTATTAAGATACGTGATTTTAGAGTGGCTGTAAACAAAGTCACGAGTGTTTTGTTGGGGCATCGGTAAAGCTTTTTGCCGGATTAGGTTATTCTTTCCTTCTTTTGGGACGGCTCAGTGTTGTAGCAATTGTGCCGTTTAATGTTGCGAACATATGGGCATTTGGTAAGTGGTGCTACTGTTTTCTTTAGATTTACCATTGCCTTGTCATGCACCGCAATTAAATCTGGTTTTATGGTCCTATCAATCAGCCTACCAATCTTATACTCAAAATCTTGCTACACACACTTACGCTGCTCTGCATGGTCTAAAAAGGCCTACAACAATTTGGTCTGAGATCAATAGTGATTAGCAAGATTTACTAGGATATCATGGCAAATTCCTCTTAGCCAGAAGTGGCTATCAAAGCAATGCACTCGTATCTCGCTACTCCAACGAATACCTCAAAAAGAAGTGGGACTTAGAGGCTCTTATTGAGACTCCAAGGATCAATCAGTAACTTTCCGTTTCTCTTCCAGTTTGAATAAATACAGAAGGGACGTTCTACGTGACGTTACAATGGTTTCGCCTAATTTTTTACAGTGTAACTAAAAAATTAAAAGTGACCCGTTAATATTAACGCAAAATTTATCAAGAGTTTCTGATGTGAGTAGCTCAAAATGTTTTAATGAGTAGTTGATGAGTAATGTAGTTGAGAAATGCAAAACGTTGTAGCGTCACTCACCTAAATAATGAATCATGTATTTTTCTTGGAATGAGGAGTAAAGCATCGCATCAACATTCTACAACACCAGGGGATGCTGCATCAAAATGGTTTTTGCGAAAAATATTCCTTATTTTATAGCGAATTCATTTATTATTCAGTTCCAAACTGGATCGGGTATCAAGATTGGGTCTGCTTGTTTTCTGACAAACGTCTATTCTTGTTATGCAGGAAATACATCACGCCAATCTAGAACGCATAAACCGAACCCTATCAGGTCAATACAGATGGATCCTTGACAACAACCATAACTCACGACACAATGCAGCCATTGGAATCCATTTGCCGCTTCCCTTTTACCACTATCCCGCTTGAAACCGACCTCCAGATTGTCGCCGTCACTGTGAATTCAGTCTACTTCCCATGTAACAATTTGATGTTTAATAAGTTTTGTTCAATCGATTTTAATTCAGCCTAAGTTTGAATAATTGCTGTACATAGATCACGTTAACCTTTGTTCAGCTTTTAAACATCTTAATCTGGTGATTTTAATCAGCTAAAAGCTTAGTAGCTATATACATTATAAGCTTCGTATGGCATTAAATAACAGGCTTTTCCAACCCTTGTTTAGCCTTCTAAAGCTAAGCCCTTATTTAAAACATATGGAAAACCGCTTCATATCTTATATATTTTTATGGGCAACATGGTGGTGATTAATTGGATTTACATATTAATATTGTTATTATAAGTCTAACAAATTACCATTGCATTACGGGATTCAAACCGGCAGCCACTGTTTCACAGGCATCAATCATACCTACTGGACCACTTAAGCATATGTGTGGCAAAATGTATGATCATTAACTTGAAACATGTCAAAATTAAGTTGAATAACAGCAACCGGTAGAGTACTATACAGCAATGCAGAATTGTAAACAACAACTGGTGACAGTAAAACCACCGGTTGGAAACTAACGATTTAAAATTGGCTCACTACTTGACTAGCCCATTGGTCCCAAGCAAATCGATCAACGTACCCCATTCTAGTATAAATTCCAGTACTACACTATGTTTGTTTTGATTCGCTATGAAAATTTGACAGATAAACGAGGGGTTCGTGGATTTTCCTATGTTTCCAGGGGTGCATCGATTAGCTTGAGATTGAAGAGAGTACCAGAGCTGAGCCAAAAAGTCGAGCACGTTTCTTCGGGACCTTCTGGTCTTAGAGTTACCTCTATGGTAAAACGTTCCTTTCATTTTCAAGTGGGTTAACACAATGGGGACACAAGTGCGCAATTTATTTCGATGGTCATGTGGAAGCTAGTTTAGTGCCACAATTAAGTTATATTTTTGGAATCCTGTCTGAAAATTCAGTGCAATATAGCAGTTAAAACACAGAAATTCCACTTCTACCTGGATATATTACTAAAAAAAAACTCGTCTACCTTGTCTCTACTGCTGCCGCTGCTTGGTATTAGAGGTAAGGCTTTGAATTAAGAAGAAAAAAATATGCCAGAAAATCAGGCTATCAAAATATTTGTAGTGCATTGCTGATTTGTGGATAACTGTTAAGCTAAAATAAGGCTTGTTCAATCTTTAGATCGGCTAACTTATTGAGGTTGAAATATGGGGATACAATTAGCTTCATGTACTACTAATCAATTATATATTCAGCCTGCTGTTAATCAGCTTTGTACATCTTAAATCAACCAATAATCAGCTTCTGTTCTTACTGTTCAGCTTGAATTGTTACTTAGGTTGCCATGCCAGCCCGTTCCTGAGATCAAAGGAAAACTATCGAAGATCCTTTCTTCTTTCCATGGCCGCAAATCTGGGGAAGACCGACGAACAACCGCAGAGGAAGCGACGTCTTTGAAACAGCTGAATCCTTTGAGTTTATTACCCTGTCAAACACCTTTTCTAGTGGTCAGAGGGAAACCGCCATTGACGTTTTCCTGGCTAGCTCCTGCATCATCTACCGTATCCTTTGGAACGTTCACGATGACACCATGGGTAGTGACCACTACCCAATCCAGATCCGTCTGGACTGCAAACTGATCGACATCTCCCGCCGACCACGTTGGCTCTTTAAAGAAGCCGTCTGGGTCAGCTACCAAACGACTATATCTGAAGCATCTGATGAATCCAATCCAGCCACCTTCACCGACTTCATAGCCTGATATTTCAAGCCGCATATACAGCAATCCCGAGAACTAGCCCCAAGCCGGAACGTGTTCACCAAGGAAGTAGTTAAGAGAAGAAAGAAAGCGCTCAGAGCGTTTAAACGACTTCTAAAGGACCATCCCGATAAAGACGCACTATCGTTCCAAAAGGAACGAGTGTCGTCAAGTAATTCGCGAGACCAAGCGCCGTACCTGGGAAGATATTCTAAACAGTATCAGCCCAAACCAAACTATCAGCGAAACCTGGGGCAGATTCAACGCTATTAGAGGTAAAAGGAGATCCCATGGAATAGCTATGCAGCACTCGGGGACCACCACCCTTGATCCAGTGATGGTCAACGACATACTCGGGGAACATTTTGCATCCCTCTCCACAGCAATAAGTTCCGTAAATCCAAGGCCGCCTCTACCTCTTCCCTCTCCACTATGATTATCCCTGAAGAATCAATCACATCGGATATCAACTTACCCTTCGAACGAGCTTACGTTGGCTCTTACCCAGGCCAGAGGTAACTCCGCAGGACTAGACAAATTGGCTACCCTCTTCTTTAAGAACCTTCCACCAGAGAGTAAACTCCAGCTTCTGGAGCTGTACAACCTGGAATGGACCCAGAACACCCTTCCCACTGAATGGACACATAGCCTTGTCGTCCCGATTAAAAAAACTGGGGAAAACCGAAAAACAGGCACATGACTATCGCCCCATATCCTTAACCTGCTGTTCCTCTGAAATCATCGAGCGAATGGTCAATAGGCGACTCCTGAATTTTATGGAAACTAAAAGACTACTCGATCAGCGCCAAAAATTTTTTTAGACCTGGACATGGGTCAAATACTTACCTTATCTTACCAATCAGACTAAGGCTTTGTTATCCTCTGCTGTCCGAAGAAGTCGTATCCACTCTACTCGATCCATGCGAAGGGTCCGCAGGTCACCTTCTACGTGGTCGATCCACCTTGCCACTGCGCGCCTCTTCTTCTTGTTCCTGTCGGGTCACTTTCTAGAACCATTTTCACTGGGTCGTCGTGCTGCATTCTTACGACGTGCCCAGCCCACCGTAGTCGCCCAATTTTTGCAATGTGGACGATGGATGGTTCTCCCAGCAGCTGGTGCAATTCGTGGTTCATTCGCCTCCTCCACGTTCCGTCATCCATCTGCACTCCACCGTAGATGGTACGCAACACCTTCCGTTCGAAAACACCAAGGGCGCGTTGGTCCTCCACGAGCATAGTCCAGGTCTCGTGGCCGTAGAGGACCACCGGTCTAATCAGCGTCTTGTAGACAGTCAACTTCGTGCGGCGGCGAATTTTATTCGACATATGGTCAAATACCTACTTCAATACCCTTGGCAAAGTCCTGTGGGATGGCTTCTCTTCGGAAAAACATATCGAGCTAGTCATATTGGACATCTCAAAAGCATCTAATAGGTCTTGGATGCCTGACGTCATCCTACAACTAGTAGAATGGGACCTTCACTTCATAAGGGATTTCTTGCTTTGCCGAACCTTTCAGGTATTTATCCGTTCTCTTCTAGAGCAACGCAACCCGTATAGCACCCTAGACTATACTGAAGTGATTCAAGACGGTGCCGCCTCCTCCGTTCCGAAAACGAGCAGCAAACCAGTACGAAAAGTCGAAAGACACTGCGAAAACTCAAGTGCCTCCGCCTTGCCGACCTAGATCACGAAACTGCCCTCGGCAACTACTACAAACGCCACAACCAGTGCCGCCAAAAAGTGAGAATTGCAAATAAATCCAGCTGGATGAACTTTCTTGACAGCATCAACGAGGCGCAGTCCTCGGCTAACCTTTGCAGTCGATTTAACGCCCTCAGTGGAAAGCGAAGTATGGTTCCACTGCATCTCCAAGTCGATGGATCCACGGTATTCAACCCTGAAATGGTCACAGACAAACTCGGTACTTTCCAGTATCAACGAGTACGACGAAGATTTTAAACACCACGCACCGCCCCGCTCTACCTCCATCGCAAATTTCAAAGTACCACCGGACCCTAGCAACCAGGCCTTCTACTGGGAGAAGCTTTGCTTTGCGTTAAGCCGAAGCACTTGCAAATCCGGACCGGACGAGGTTGGCTACTCCCCCTCCTGACCCACTTGCCCGTTCCAGGTTACGTCAAATTGTTAGAGTTATACAACCAGCTCTGGATGAATAGAGTGTACACTGATAAGTGGAAGGAGAGCCTTGTAGTGCCCATCCCGAAAACAAATGAAGCATCCCACGAGGTATCCATATACCGCCTAATTGCACTCTCCTGCCGCATGGCAAAGGTGATGGAAAAGATGGTCAATCGCAGACTAAAACAGTTCCTCGCGAATGGTTGCCTTCTCGACAACTAGCGTTTCGGCAGGGATATGGCACTTTCATATACTTTGCAACGTTTAACGGCGCCGGTGGTGTAGTGGTAAGCGTGATAACCTCTCACCCCAGCAGGCCTGGGTTCAATCCCAGTCGGCGCCACCGGGATGTTCTGAGGCATAACATCTCTGATCACGCCTTCCTTCGGATGGAAAGTAAAGCCGTTGGTCCCCGGTTCATGAGTTGATGGGTCTGTAGGTAGGGTCCAGGTGTGGGAGCTGCCTTCCTGGCACGTCGGTAGCATTGGTGTTCAGCACGGAAAACAAGATCGACGGAAAAAACAAACCAAAGGTATCAGTATCTTGCTACTCCAACGAATACCTCAAAAATAAGTGGGACTTAGAGGCTCTGATTGAGACTCCAAGGATCAATCAGTAGCTTTCCGTTTCTCTTCCAGTTTGAATAAATACAGAAGGCACGTTCTACGTGACGTTACGATGGTTTCGCCTAATTTTTTACAGTGTAACTAAAAAATTAAAAGTAACCTCTTAATATTAACGCAGATTAATAAAGTGCGCTAAATTTGCTATAAAAATTTATCAAGAGTTTCTGATGCGAGTAGTTCAAAATGTTTCAATTAGTAGTTGATGAGTAATGTAGTTTAGAAATGCAAAACGTTGTAGCGTCGCTCACGTAAATAATGAATCAGTTATTTTTCTTGGGATGAGGAGGACTAGCATCGCATCAAAATTTTACAACACCAGGGGATACTACATCGAAATGGTTTTTGCGAAAAATATTCTTTATTTTATAGCGAATTCATTTATTATTCAGCTCCAAACTGGATCTGGAATCAAGATTGGGTCTGCTTGTTTTCTGACAAACCTCTATTCTTGTTATCCAGGAAATACATCACGCCAATCTAGAACGCATAAACCGAACCCTATCAGGTCAATACAGATGGATCCTTGACAACAACCATAACTCACGACACAATTCTGCCATTGGAATCCATTCCCCGCTTCCCGTTTACCACTATCCCGCTCGACACCGATCTCCAGATTGTCGCCGTCACTGTGATTTCGGTCTACTTCCCAGGTAAAAATTTGATGCTTGACACGTGTTGTTCAATCGATTTTAATTCAACCTAAGTTTGAATAATTGCTGTACATAGACCACGACAACCTTTATTCAGCTTTTAAACATCTAAATTTGGTGATTTTAATCAGCCAAAAGCTTAACAGTAAAATATATTAAAAGCTTTTTAAGGCATTAAATAACAGTCTTTTCCAACCCTTGTTAAGCCTTCTAGTTTTATTTCAAAAATAATAATGGCGGACCGCTTCATATCTTATTTTATGCATTTTTATGGAACTGCTTTAACTTTTTGCTGACTAATTGGATTAACATATTTGTTAATATAAGTCTAAAAATTACCTTTGCATTGCGGGATTTGAACCGGCAGTCGCTGATTCATAGGCGTCAACCATACCTACTGAGCCATTTAGGCATATGTGAGGTAAAAGATATGATCATTAACTTGAAGCATGTCAAATTTAAGTTGAATAACAGCAACCGGAAGAGTATTATACAGCAATGCAGAATTGTAAGCAACAACTGATGACAGTTCAACATTCCTCTCATTTTCAAGTGCTGTTAACACAATGTGGACAGAAGTGCGTGATTTATTTTGATGGTCATTTGGATGCTAATTTAGTACCATAATTGAGTAATATTTTTGGAATGCGGTCTGAAATTTCAGTGAAATATAACAGACAAAATACAGGATTATAAATGTATACTTCCGACGTCGTCGCAGCCTACATCTACCTGGAGCTATTCCTAAAAATCTCCTTTTTCTTGTCTCTACTGCTGCCACTGCCTGTTAATAGAAAGGTAGGCAGTAAATTTAGTAGAACTAAAATGCCGGACATGTAGGGAGTGACACAGACACTGACGGCATTTAACAAATCAAGCTATCAAAATATGTGTTACGGATTGTTGATTTGTGGAGTTGTGTTAAGATTAAATAAGGATTGTTCAAGCTTTGGATCAGCTAACCTATTGAGGTTGGATTATGGGGATACAATTCGCTTCATGCACTATTAACCAACTATATATTCAGCCTGATGTTAATTAGCTTTGTACACCTTAAATCAACCAATAATCAGCTTCTGTTCTTAATGTTCAGCTTGAATTGTTACTTGGGCAGTTATATAAATTATAAGCCCTTTAAGGCATTAAATAACAGCCTTTTTCAACCTTCAAGCTTTCTAGTTTTATTTAAAAAATATGGAAGACCACTTCATATATTATTTATTTTTATGGGACTGCAACAAAGTGCTGACGAGTTAGATTTACATATTTATATTGTTTTTATAAGTCTAAAAATTACCATTGCAATTTGGAATACAAACTGGCAGTCGCTGATTCACAGGCATAAATCATACCTACTGGACCACTTAAGCAAATGTGTGGCAAAATTTATGATCATTAACTTGAAACACGTCAAATTTAAATTGAATTACAGCAACCGGTAGAGTACAAGAGTACAGCAAGCCGAAATTGTTAACAACAACTGGTGACAGTAAAACCACCGGTTTGAAACTAACGATTTAAAATTGGCTCATTGGTCCCAAGCAAATCGATCAACGTACCCCATTCTAGTCAAAATTCACAA